GAATACCTCAAGCGTGTGACAGAAATGTTACGCCCCTTACCATATTTGGAAACACACAGCTTCTCCACGGCATGGCGGTGGCGGCAACAATATTACAGCGAGAATAAAAGTTACGCCTTCTTTCTTTACATAAAAATGTGGGTGGTGTTATGCAAATCTTCCAACACAGTGATGTAGATATGTGGGGGCGTGTTTTAATGAGGCTTTTTAGGAAGGCGTGGACTAGTCTTAACTTTTATAAAGAATATCTCTTTGGGTTTGAGAATTGATCTAATTTTTCATCTCAGAACTGAATATGGTGATTTTGCATTTGAGTCCAGTTTTGTGTGCATCTACATAAGCAGATCAGAAGGTTATGGAGAATGACCTGCACATTTGTCCTCCCTGTACAGGTATGACAGTATGTCTGATCTGCTCATGGCTGTGGTTTGGGTCTTGGAGAAGACATCATCTCACAGGCTCGTCAGCAGGAGGGAATGATCCTCATCCCGCTGTTCCAGAAGAAACAGGACATGGTGGTGAAAAAGTGTGATTGTGGCTGACTTCAAAACCCTGGCAGATGTGCTGGTGCAGGAAGTCATCAAACACGACAATGGAAAACAGGTGATCGCCTGGCATTATGATAAACTCTCTTTGAAGGAAGTTCTCATGTCTTTTTAACCTCCCAGAATAGATAAAAACTCGCAATTGTGAGAGAAAAGTCAGAATTGCATGTTCAGAATCACAATTCTGACTTGAACCTTCCACAGCACACAAAGAATTTGTGTCCTACTCCTGAACAACAATGTGATTGGTGTGCTAGCCGACAGATTGTGCTCTCTTCTAGAAGGACTGTTGAGGTTGAACCTGAGTAGAAACCGAATCTCATTCCTGAGTGAAGGATTTTCACAGGGTCTCGGCTCCCTACGAGATCCGTCACTCGCTGAGAACCGATTGACCAGCTTGGACAGCAGTTGTTTCATCCACTTTGACACCCTCCAAAAATTCAACCTTAGCCATGATGCTATCAAGATCATCAAGATGAGGACGTTTGGGTCCATGAGTACCATACACCAGCTACAACTCAAAAATGGTATTACTGTCGGGGCTGGAAATGGAGTGGATATGTTTGCCTTTGCCATTGACCCGTCTTGCTCTACTGGACCTCACCAACAACAAACTCTCCACAATTCAGTTCAAGAGCTTCCTGAGACTCAACATGTACAGCACAGCACTCACATAATGCTCCATGAAAATCTGTGGTATTGCGACTGCGATTTGTAATGTCAAGCGGCTCTTCCTGGACAACTACGACAACCTCACCTGTGTGAATTTGGACGAAAGTGACAGAAACTACACAATGGTAACTGTCCTGGTCATCACTGTTGTGGCTGCCATCGTCATGGTGGAGAAAAAAAGGGGAAAAAAAGAACAAAGCATTGGAAGGAAGTTGGCGAGTTGTTGTGCGCATTCCAAGACTAAACCAATGCAGATAATGTAAAAAGGAACATTAATCTTGCATTATACTTGTATGATATTATGCTTTAGGTCAGGCATATTCAAATGGCGGATCGCGGTCTGAGTCCGAATTTATTTAACGATTCAGCCACTGATTTGCCAGAGGTATCGTTAGGAAATGCTACAAGTAAAGAAATCGTATGCTTTGCGTGGAGGGTAAACACGCTACTGGGTGCGAACACCGCGTTGCCCAACTCATAAGCGCTGCCATTGTTGCATATGAGAAACATCAAACGGCAAACAAAACAAAAGCGTGATGAAACCATGCTACTTGTTTGAGCTGCACAGCATGGACCATTTATGAGCTCGGACCAATAATTGAGCTCAGTGCAAGCAAAGCGGTTTACCAATCTCAGAACAGGATTACTAGTTGGGAACCAATGTTGGTGTTGCAACACTAGGGCCTTTCACACCGCTTTAGTTCCAGAACTAAATGTACAGTACTAAAGTACTGGGAACCAAAAAGTGGGTAGTTCCACAATTAATTCTGGTACTATGAAAAGGTTCCCGCAGTGCGAAAGGCCCTACTGTTACTGCACAGCGCTGCGAGATCCAGTGAGAAGCGTTTGAACTCACCGCAGAATGAATAAATTCGCTGTGAGATCTATTGAGAATAATTCAAATTCTGCAAAATTCTAACTGTAACCGTGGTGTTGAAGCAGAAATTACATTATTAATTTCAAGGTTTGTACAACCTTTTGAGAGAGAAATTCAAACACTTTTCAATGACTCAAGTATTCCACACATCTATTTCCAGCACTTTAACGCTCCAATTTAAATGCTATTTTTAATGGGATGACCAAAATATAGTTTTGTGGTAAACAAACACTTATGTAAAATTTAAAAATACACCAAATTACCATTTTAACCAGTAGATGGCAGCAGATGAGCTCTTATTGGCTTATTAGTCATTCATTTCTACTTTTTGCTTTATATTTTGAAATTATAAAATCATTATTATAAAATATCTACTCATCAAGAAATGAAATATTGTCAAAGTTTTGAACTTTAAGTTAGAAAAGTTACAAAGCACCAAACTTTTCTTTAATTTGCGACTGAATCAAACATCAAGAGTGTTTCTTTTATAATCACTGAAGTTGTCTGTCAGTTCTGTGTAAAACTTTAGAAGAATAATGGTAGAGTATATTCATTTTCTTTATATAAATATTAGATTTTGCACACGTTACTGTTGTTAATAAAAGTATATTTTCCATGTCCCAATGTGATTACCAAGAAATAATCATTCCACCGAATGGGTGCCATTTCTATCCCCAGAACATTATAGGTACAAACATTCTACATGCATAAAAATTAACTATAAAATACATTTTATTATTAAGCAAAGTGTCCTGCACATTAATCTAACTGCAAATTTAAAATATATAATTTTTTTTTTATATTAAAAACTACCTAAATCACTGAAAATATAGCATTTGTACATGTCCCCAGTGCCTAACGCTACATTTTAACATGAAATATGTTTAAAATCCTTCAGAAATTATTTTTATTTAGCATTTTTGTGTACCTCCACATCCCATCTGTGCTTTAAATACATTTATTTCAAAATAAATGTATAATATTTTGGATAAAATACACATTTTAGCCGTGTCCCCAGGTTTTCACTCATTCCTGTTACCCTAATAATCCCCCCTCTAAAACACTGAGAAAATTCCACAAGACCCATTTTCAACATAATATTGCAACATCTGGATCTTCTGAAGGCAATGAAATGACCGAAAGCATGTGGCCTTATTTTCTTTTCTGTATATTTGATGATATTGTAACGGTGGCTGGGAGCATCATTATAAATAAATATACTGTCCTGTTACCTAAATTATTTCTTAGATGTTACTTGTTTATTTTAAAAATACAAATCTTTGGTGAATCACTATAGTTTGCTGAGTATTCTCATAATATTAGCACGTACTCCATGTGGCTAGATTATATTATATTTTATCCTAAAATCTCAATCCTGTTACTTTCAGTCCTGTTACTCATATACTCATTTATCCTATACTTATATATAGTAACTGAATAAAGGTAACAGGAGTGAGTAGTGTCATCAGATTTATTAATGTAAATATTAGGCTACATCCATATTAATCTAGATAAATTTTAAAATGCATCTTTTTCTCAATGTTTTGGCCTTCTATCCAAACTGAGACAATGCTTTTGCCCAGAGAAAACCTATGGTTGTTCCTGCATTGTTGTTTTATATTACATTCCTGCAAGTATGACAGAAAATGTACTTGAAATTTCTGTCCTGTGGCAATTATGTATTAGACTCATATATGGAATGGCGTTTGAGTGTGAGCTGTGCTATAAGAAAACAATATCCACAGAAAAACTGAAAATATATTATTTGTTAAGTTTATTATTTTTAATAGCAATTTTAATTTAATATTTAATATTTATTATTATTTTTTTGTTATTTATATCTTATCTCATAATCCGTCCTCTACCCCTAAACATAACCCTAACAAAAACCTCTGCAGACCACTAGATTTAAATAGAAACATGATTTGGCCTTTTTTTAGTAGTGAGATCAGCTCACTAGTCAATGTGCAACACTTTGACTATATCAGTGCGGGCATTAACACCTCACATGTGTAGTCAAACCTGTATACTAATATAATGGATACTCATTCCTGTTACCCAGTTTCATTCCTGTTACTACATAGTTTTTTCTTTAAAAAATAAAGTTAAACCACTATTTTTTTTAATTAAGTTTGGTCCATAATTTAACCCATTGTTTAATAAATTGCATCATAGAAAATTGATAAACTTGAGGTTTGAGTCACCTTTAAAATAAATAAAATTTGGTTTTGAGACTTTAGTCTTTGCAACTTCAGGGATCTTATCTATGCACAATCAGCTTGTAACACTCCAAAGAGAAAGGAAAACTTGAAATCGCATCATATGACCCCTTTAAGGTTAGTCCGTAATTTATCCCATTGTGTAATAAATTGCATCATAGAAAATGTATTAGCTTCAGCTTTGTGTTGCCTTTAAAATAAAAAAAAGTGGGTTTGTGTACTTTAGAAAAAATGCACCTTGTGTAGATAAATAGTGATTTTTTTAATGATAAAAATAATCTTTTTTGACCATGAAACCAACAATTTCTTTAAAATATACACCATAAGGACTGAGAAAAATGCATCCATCTTCCACTTAAAAATTGTGTAAAAAATTCAATAAAGTTACCCGAGATGGACCAATACATATTTTGAATAGTTAAATAATATGTGTATTACTAGACTAGATTAGATAGTCTTTAAAAAAGATAGATTCTTTTTTTTTTTCGGTGGAATGGCCCTAATATTATTAGTAACTGCAGTAATTTTATGATTAAGTTATCTTTATTTTTAATACCCCACCCCCAGCGCTACCAAATCTTCTTCTGGCGCCACCATCTGTAGAACTTAGTTGCACTGGTGCCACTGATCTCATATGCTAGTCTGGAGCCCTGTAAGCAACAATCTTCCCTTGTGCTCTAATTAATACATGCACGTCTGCTGCTGTAACGTGCGCTCGAAGCGTTGTTATAAAAAGAGGAGGCGGTGCTCCATGACGCAACAGCTTTTATTAGCCAATAGAGAGCGCGATATGTAAATGAGCTCGTGTAAAGCAGGAAGTGCGGTTGCACCTCTGTCTGTCCATAGATGAGACGAGGAGGGAAGAAAATGCTAGAAAGGACCACGGATAATGCAACGCTAAATAAACACACTGTGTCCTAACGACTGAGCACAAATCTACATTTGACCAATACAGGGAAACGGAGCTGTTTGTGATCGATTGGGGAACGAGGTAGGATGTTTTCATCTGCATTGAATCGATGCGTTTTTTTTACTTGTGTATGTGTTGGGGTGTCGTCTCGTTTTCCTGCTTATTCTGATCATCAAAACGCTATTTTGCTATTTTCAACATAACAGCCTGTATTATCATGATAGCCTAGTGTTTTGTCTTAAGTAGAGCTATGTCTTAAGTAGATGTTTGTATATGTGTCACATATACGTAACATTATCCATCACACTAGTATGAGTGTAAATGATGGGCAGATGATTCCTATTCTACCCTGTTGACATCTGCAGTATCGCTTGTTCTCCATAGACATAGATATCCACGCTGTGTATAAACATAATAACCACTGGATATGTCAGTATGTGAGGGTGTTTTGAAGTAAAGGCAGATGCTGGGCCTATTTCTGCAGGAATCATCTGCACACTGTCATGATCATCAAAACACCATCATGAAGTGTGTTTATATTCTTTAATATTACTTGTTGGTATTTAACATATTGATCATTTATTATCATAATCAGTGGGTTGCAATCGTATGTCCAGGTCATTCTTCTGAAAGCTGTCAAGAGGATGTCCAGGTTATTTATATAAATGAAGTCTGTTTTATGTCCATTGAGATATTTGGCACTATTACTTTGATGACAATTAATCAGATTTTATTCCTCCATTCTCATTATTGTAATCCAACCTTGACATTGCTTCTATTATTTTTATTCTTATTACATACTATGGTAGTTTTATTACTCCATTACAGTAAATGAATACTGTTATACAATGATTTTAAAATTGATATAAAGCAATCCAACAAATGCTACCATGATTCATAAGAACTTAAAAATTCATATTTATTATAATCCTAAACAGGGTTAATTATAGTTAAATAAACTAAAACCAGATTTTTTTGTTGTTACTTAAAGGGGTCATATGATGCGATTTCAAGTTTTCCTTTCTCTTTGGAGTGTTACAAGCACAATGCCGGCATTTATGCATTGTATGAACATTATACAAATCCATCTTTCGTGACACTCATGTTTGAAAGTTAATTACCGACCTATTAAGCGTAATCATGTTTCTTGATAAAATAAAACAAAAGTGTATGTAATATATATTTAATTAGATTCCTCAAGATGATTCTTGCTCTCAAATAAATTTGTATGAGATTAGACACTAAATTTAGATTGTCTTGGATTAACTTCATCAGTGAAGTGAATTCTGTTGGCTGTAATTGTTTTGTAATGTACTATTGCATTGATTTCATTAATTCAGATTAATTTCACAAAGCACAAACTCATGGATGGATACAAAAGAAATCCAGTCGTCCTCATTTAATTAGGGGACAAAATTATCATGTAGTCCATTAAACTTCATGCATGTTAAGACCGAAATGAGCATGGTCTCAGGGAATCACGTTGACAGGTGCATTTCCTCACAATTAAAAATTGAAGTCTTCTCTAGTTAGACGGGTTGGATCACGAACACTGCTTTAACATTATCTAATTAAAATCAAGAATTTGATTTTTTATTTCATTTAGCACTCTATAATGATTCTCTTAAACTTCCTCTTTATTTAGAAGCATGAGTCAGATTTAACACTTAAATGCTGTAAATTCTCTAGTCCTCATCTAATACATTAATGTCATGAAGGAACCTTATTGGGATCATTTGAGGAGAGCGTTCAGTGCAACTGCTTATGTGAGTCATAGATGAGTCTTAAAGCGATAGTTCACCCACAAATGAAAATTGTTATTATTTACTCACTCTAATGTTGTTTCAGGCCTATATTTCTGTTTTAAAGAATGTCTTCTGAAGCCATATAATGAGATTGAAATCAATATTCAACAAAAATCTCACTTGACAGCCATGGCAGTGTTATTTTAGTATCACTGAGATATTATAATAGCTTTTATTATTATTTTAAATTAGTTTTTTTATTTTTCATTTTAATTTTAAGTTTTAGTAATTTCATTCTGCAATTTTTATTTTTAATAATTTTAAATTTTTAAATTTCTATATAGTTTTTATAAATTTTTTAGGCCTTGTTTATTATATTTGTTTTAGTGCATAAAGTTAACCGTACGGAGAAAAAAAAAAGTTTGTACGGAAAAGCGCAGCTTAGACATTTTGTTATAAATAACTACTTTGTGTTCCACCAATAAAGTGTGAGAACTGCCGTTTTTGGGTGAAATATTCTTTTAATATGCCACAAGTAGTTAGGTTATTAAAGGTGCCATAGAATGCATTGATACAATATTTTAAATTGTTCTCTGATATCTACATAGAAGGTATGTGGCTTAGGTAAGGGCAAAAAATCTCCAGAAACTGTTTTACATGTCCATTTACAACCCTAGGATTTGTCCCATTGGGTAATTATACTGTATATAAAATGTGGGCATCAGAGAGCCGCTATTAATATGCGGGGCATTGAAACTGCTTTCGAATGCACAATCATTTTTACTTTAACTTTCGAGATTTGCGATCGCACGTGCTCTGTGTAAACTACAGTGGCCGTACTTGCCACATATTTTACAAGATCAGATGCTTGACAGTGTTGCTCAGGATCAAATCATTCGCCATCATCCTCAGTCATCTCTCCTTACTCTGTTTATGTGGTAAGTGAAATCTTATGTACTGTAATGTAACAGGCTACCGCTAGCAAGCAGCTAACCATGTCCCTTTAGTGGCTCGCGTTTTATTTGAATGCACGTTATTTGTTTTCCGTGCCTTTCTGAATACAGACACCAACCCATCCCTGCCCATCACATGCAGGTTCGGCTGGTGGCTGGCATAGAACATGGGCGGGTATATGCAAATGTTGGGGGCATACTATTAGTGATTCCGACTGTAACGTCACAGTCAGTGTTATGTTCTGATTCGCCTATTTTTCAGTGGTCTTTTGCATGCACAAGATTTACATAAGGAGGAAACAATGGTGTTTGAGGCTCACGGTAGGTTATTTCCATGTACAGAACTGTTATTATTCAACTCTGCCGTTTTCCATTCTATGGCACCTTTAATATGGGCTCGGTACTTGACACCGTTAGTATACGTAATCAACCTTATCTGCTCTTATAGTTTCTGTTACGTGTAAGTGTAACCATTCCTTCTTTCCCTTCCTTAGAGAAATTGACCAGATCACTGTGAACCACAGTCCACACCCATAATATCAGAGAATACAAGATCACATTCCAAGACCCATCTAACTTACAAAGTAAGTTACTCTGTTATCAGCTAGCCACTTTATATTTGTCTGACAGAACATTGCAATAGTTTAAACCAGATCTTGCCCATAGATCCTAATGTCAAGTGATTTTCTAGTTTGTGCTTTATTGTATTTTAGTTTACTGAAGCATTTCATCAGTCATCTGTTATTGTTTATTTTCAGCGCAAATATGAACACTCACGAATCTGAGGTGTACACGGTGGCGCCGGAGATGCCGGCGATGTTTGACGGCATGAAGTTGGCGGCGGTGGCCACAGTTCTCTACGTCATCGTCCGGTGTCTAAACTTGAAAAGTCCCACAGCTCCGCCGGATCTCACTTACCAGGATACAACACTCAGCCACTTCCTGCTCAAGTCCTGTCCTATTCTGACCAAAGAGTGAGTACCACACTTCAGTTTATCATTTCACTGCACTTACTGTGTCTACTGAGTAAACCGCATCTCTAGCTTAGAGGCTGTTCCTGAAGCTGCGCTGCTTTTAGCACATGGTTGCTAAGACTAATGCAGGATTCCTAGAATCACTTACATAAATATTCTCAACTGTTCTTTTACTGTTTTTTTTTTTTTTTACAGCAGGGACACAGTAAATTGATTAAAAGTAACAGTAAAGACATTTATAATGTTGCAGATGATTTCTGTTTCAAATGAATGCAGTTCTTTTGAACTTTCTATTAATCAGAGAATCCTGAAAAAATATAGCGGAACTGTTTTCAACTGTTTCAGTGGTCTTGAAAATTACAAGACATGTTTCTGAATGAAATCATCATATTAGAATGATTTCTGAAGGATCATGTGACACTGAAGACTGGAGTAATGATGCTGAAAATTCAGCTTTGTCATCATAGGAATAAATTACATTTAAAAATATATTTAAATAGAAAACAGTTATTTTTAACTGTTAAATGTTTATTTTAACAGTTATCTTTAAATCTTGGTAATACCATGTTTGTTTTGGACATGTATCAAAATATAAAAGCCATTGTTTATGAATATTGTAATCATTCAGTACCACGGTTTGTATCAAAGCATTGTGTATTATTTATAGGATAATTAATATTTTGAACTGGCTCTAATTTTTTATATACTCCGTTTTAGTTTTTAGTAGGGCTGCACGATATATCGAAATTATCGAAATATCGCAAATGTAAATATGCATATCGCAAGGGTGTGCGATATCTGAATCATTTTAATAATAGGCTACTTAAATCAAAACGTTGCTACACACTTTAAGCAATATCGTATCGCATATCGAATATCGCATTTTTGAACAAGGTATCACATCGCATTTTTCTTCAATATCGCACAGCCCTAGTTTTTAGTATTTTTTTTGTATTTTTGTCATTAACGCTTTCTATTTCTTATCTCATTTTTATTATTTTTAATACTTATCTGTGTATCTTTATTTTTATCATTTCTTATTTTTAAGCTTTTTTAACATAAGTTTAATCTAATATTTATATTTTACTTTATTTCAGCTTTTCTATTAGTGAAAAAAATGTACAGTTTTAGTTAACAATAACAACACTGCACTGTACCTCAGTACTTTTTTTTTAATAAAGGTCAGTCCTCAAAAACACGAAATGTACAGGTGCAGCCATCTAAACTATAATGCAAAGTAGGGAAAAGAGAAGACGACATTGTTCCTCTTACAAAATGAGCAATTCTGCATGAGTTCAGTTGTTGTTCAGCTACATTTTAGACACTTCTAAATGAAGTTTGAAAGTGTCAGAATTCACACTTTCTGGTAAAGTGCCATTACCACAGCACAGTGTTTACCATTGCTTTCAAACACAAAGTTTAAACTTTAAAAACACGATAAGGTAATTTTATAGATGAAAATAACCATACAGTCTGTTTCCTGCAATGTGCTATAAAACACATGCCAATCTGTTCATCAGTGGTATTTTGAATGCTGTTTTGTTGAATGCTTTTTGAAACATTCTTGGAAGGTGTTTAATATACAAATTTCTTTCATGAAATGTAGTCATTTCCATGCTCAAACTGCACGACAACAGTTTATGAAAACAGTGAGGTGATGCTTCAGGAGTTTATTGCTTGCTGTAACGACATATGGTTATTATACTGTTTGCACTTGAGGCCAAGACAAAGCATGCCTTTTTAATAACATCTGCAGAAATGTTTATATACCTGTACTGCCATTGTTAAGTGTGTAATACACGTGACTGGCTAATTTATCAAGCCTTTGTTATTCTTGGTTTCAATTCCACATGATGGTTAACGTTCATTTTGTTGTATTAGATCACGATCTGCAATTAAAATGAGAAACATGTCTTCTAGAGGCTGTTTTGCACACATTGACCTCAGAAGTTGCGATATGCATTGCATATGTCTGTTGCACAGTGCGGGTGGGTGTTTCTTTTATAATCCAAAGTGACTCCCTGCTGGTTATGTAATCATTATTTTCCAGTACATCTACTACACTAGGGGCCAAGAGATCAATCGACAAACACAGCCCATTGTCTGTACATCCTTATCTCCTCGGTGGCACAATTAACTTTCCCCATGTTTGTTTTGCTGGAGGATTTTCCAGCAAAACGCCTTTTAAGAAAACAAGCGCTTTGGAGCGTTCAGAGTTTGACGATCTAAAGGTTATTTTGTCAAGCATTGATAATAGTCGCTCATGCCTGTGATGTTGCATTGTGGGTCTGGACTTTGGAGCATTATTAGGCGTGTCACGCCAACGCGGCTCTGCCGCTGCATGCTTCCTTGTTTTTTTTATCTTTTATGCTTGCGGATAACTGCAGCTCAGTCAACAGAGAGGAATGGCTAAAGATGCAGTACAGGGAACAAAAAAAAGCCTGTTTCCAGTCAGTTCTGTTGTTCGTTAAGTAACGCTTAAGCCTCGTTTGTCAACATTCCAGAGATGCACCTGGTTATTTAAAGCGAGTTTGCATTGTGTTGATGTTTGTGTTGCTTAATTTATCTGCTCTAGGGTTTTCTGAACTCAACTCACCTCAAACGACATGTTTTTTTTATGGTAAAGCTCTTTGTGCTGATCCTCTTGTCTTCTTATTTGACCGTGTCATTGTGAGCAGATTAAACCAGGTCGGCTTTCATTCCTTACATCTCATAACCGATATTTTAAGGATAATAACATGTAATAGTCACTGGTGATGTTGCTACGCTTGAGGCTATATCGTGAGAGTATGTTATGTAATACCCAAGGAGGTGTGGAATAGATCACAGTGACAGTGAGAAGGGAAAGAAGGCGTTCAGTGGATTTTGTTTACTGCTGTTTTTAGGCTCACTTTGTGCAAACGAACGTTGTTTAAGTGGTCTGGATGTCTTTAGTTAGCAGAGCAAAGTTGGGCCAAGTGAATGAGGTTATTGTCAGTGAAAATTTTTTTCATGGAATGTTACATCTCAAAATGGACAGTGAATTCTGTGTCAAAACTAGTGCTGTCAAACGATTAATCGCATCCAAAATAAAAGTTTACATAATATATGTGTGCGTACTGTGTATATTTATTATATATATGTATATATAAATACACACACATGCATGTATATATTTTGAAAATATTTACATGTATTTACATGCGCATATATGTATATAATGCATATAATTTATATTATTAATAAATATATTTAATATATAAACATAACATATTTTTCTTAAATATAATACATGCATGTGTGTGTATTTATATATACATAATAAATATACGCAGTACACACGTATTATGTAAACAAACTTTTATTTTGAATGCGATTAATCGCGATAAATCGTTTGACAGCGCTAGTCAAAACAAAGTTGCATCTTCAAACAGTAATATTCTAGAACTTTACCTCACAAAATAGTGATACTCTGTAAAGGTGTCTCAGAGGGTGATATTTCAGAAAGGTACAAATGAAACGGCGCAATTCTAGAAAGTTGCATCTTCAAATAGTGATTTTGTAGAATGTTATACTTAAAACAGTGGAAACCAAGTAGGTAAAGAGTTTTTGATGTCACTATGGGATAGGGTTGTGCCGATAGACGACAGTATCGTGTATCGACGATAGTCAGAGATATCGCCTGTGGCTGATGCCACTGACGATAGCAAGACGATTATTATTAGGGGACAAGCACCGAAGGTGCGTAGTCACCTATTGTGTTTGTCGCGTGTTATAACCAATCACACACGATTATGTTATACTTATGAATGCAATGGCCAATCAGAGGCGTTCAGATGAGTCATCGCTGAAACACCGGAGTTTCGTTGTTCAGTGCGCGCTGACTGAATTCTGACTCACAAATTCTTTCATCATAAACAACAAAGTGCAGAAGTACGT